CGATATACAACTATTTGAAAATCTGGAATCTGAGGGTGCAAACAAAATCTAAATATTGAGAAAATCATCTTTAAAGTTGTTCAAATGAAGTTCTTAGCAATGCATATTACTAATCAAAATTAGTAATCAAAAAATCAAAAATTAAGTTTTGATATATTTACGGTAGGAAATTTACAAAATATCTTCATGGAACATGATCTTTACATAATATCCTAATGATTTTTGGCATAAAAGAAAAATCGATAATTTTGACCCATACAATGTATTTTTGGCTATTGCTACAAATATACCCCCAGACACAGATGGACTCACGCGTCCGTCCAGCGAGAGCAGTATGGAGTCACTCTTGATGTCTCTGTGTATGACGCCCTGTGAGTGGAGATACGCCAGCGCCTGCAGCACCGCCTCACACACGGTCGCGATCTGCTCCTCGCTCAGCCTGAACACACCACAGCGACACAAGAGCAGACACACGCTTACATCACTGTGCTTCACAGATCAGCAGTCAGGATTTCTTCATGCATCTGCTGTTTTTCACTATAATCGTGAGTTTTACAAACCGCTTGAGCTCTTTGTGCTGTTATATATCAGTGCTGATTAAGTGTCTTGCATCTCATCGAGACGGGAAGAAACCTCTTGGGAACATGCTAAAAACACTCAGAACAATCTGGCAACCGCCCACAACACTGCAGCATCATAGTGGTGCGTTTCGCACTTCAGAAAATGTCCAAATCTAGCTTTATTCCTGCTGTTTTCATCCATACATGACAGATAAAGGATTGTTTCGAGTTCAAAACAGCATTTTTTAGATGCACACTTATAAATTTATTCATGTATTATAATTGTTTGTCAAACAAAATGTCTTCAAATCCTTTGAAAAATATTTAATTATTGTATTTGGCTCATTTAATCCATTCACTAATTATCATTATTATATTGGGTTTTTTTTGTATATTCATGACATTAGGTTTAGTCTGCTGTATAGGAATGTTTTGGTGTATTTATTTATTTATTATGAATTAATAATAATAATAATATAATTATTATTATTTTTATTTTTTATTATTATTCAATCTATTTATAGATCAAATTTAACTTTTTGAGATGCAGGCTTGCAATTGCTTGACAAAAACTCTTTTTTTTAATCAGTTTGAAAATTGTTTTATTTTTTATTTTTTATTATTTTATTATTTGACTAATCATTTTTTATGTTTTTTTCTTTTTTATATTCACAACATTAGGTTTAGTCTTCCATAAAGGAATGTTTTGGTTCATTAATTATTATTTTTATATTATTTATAGACATAAAGATATAGATATTAACTTTTAACTTTTTACTTTAACTTAACTTTTTGAGATGCAGACTTTAATAATTTATTTACCCATGTCATATAATTGCTTGTCAAAATTTTTTTTTTCAAATCATTATGAAACTGTTTTTTTTATTATTATTTTAAATTATTCTATTTCATTTTTATATTATGTTATTATTTTTTTGGCTCACTTCATATGTCAACTAAACTATTTTTTTTTCTTTTGTATATTCATGACATTAGGTTTAACTTGCTCTAAAGGAATGTTTTGGTTAATTTATTATTATTTATATATTATTCATATTATTATTTATAGACGTATAGATATAGATATTCACTTCAACAAATTCAGCTTTTTGAGATGCAGCCTTATTAATTTATTAATGTGAAATAATTGCTTGTCAAACAAAATGTCTTCTAATCAACATGAAAATTATTTTATTTTTTTAATTTTTAAAATGATTTAATTTTATTTTTATTTTATTATTTTATTTGGGTCATTTCATTTGTTGACCAATTATTTTTCACATTTCTTTCTTTTGCATAACCATGACCATAATTTGTTTCATTGTTGTGGTTCATTGTTATTTATATAGATATATACAGACATTCAATATTTCTATGTATATGTTCACATTTCACATATGTTCACATCAGGCTTATTTCATTTATTCATGTCATATAATTGCTCGGGTCAGATCCAGTTTGCCGTCTCATGTCTGAGGAGACGTGACATAGAGCCACATTTGTGTGCGATCATGTAAATCTAGTCCTTCACCAGACAGAGACAGAGATGCATTTACCAAACTAATTAGATCACTAATCAAATTGCCCCTGCATGTCCTCACAACATGCGCTAATCTGATTGTCTAATCAAATTAAAGTCGGCCGTAGAGTGTCAGAATACATGCACAGCTCAGAGCGGATCCATGACTTAACTGTACATCACCCTCTTGTGGTGTGAATAAAACACTACAGGAATACCACACGGAGTCAGTAATTGCAGAGACCCTGGAGAGCAGCCTGACCTTGTGTTTTGTTCATCCAAACAGCAGAATTGCAATCACAGTGAATTAGCATTAAAAACTGTCACTTTAAAGTGATATGACATGAAAATTGAATGAAAATGACTTCCTTTAATCATGTTTCTGGTCTTATTGTGAAAGATTCATCGTTACATGTTGTCTGTCTTCACAGTCTTTCAACCATGGCTGCAAATGATGTGCATATTATATTATATTATTTTTTATTTTATTATTTTTTATATTAAATTATATTATATTGTATTGCATTCATTTATTTTAAATTATATATTTTATTATATTATTTTAAGTTGTATTGTCGTTTTTATTTTAAATCATATTATTTAATTTTAAATTATGTATTATGTTCTGTTCTGTTATATTACATATTATATTGTATTTTTTATTATATTATTTTATTTTAAATTGTTTTATTATATTAGTCTTTAATTTAATTTTAAATTATATATTGTATTATATCATTTTATTTTAAATTTTATATTATATTATATTGGAAACAAAATGTAAAATAAATCTGTTTATTTAAGGTCATTCATGATTTTATTTTATTTAAATTTGATTTCAATTAAAAAGGTCACTGATGAACTTTCCAGAAGTCATGAATTCAGATTTTTTTTTTTTTTTTTGTTCAAGGCATTTTTAAAAAAGGATTAGGGGCTTTA